AAATATAATTGCACGGATCTGAACACTATAACCGCATCCGAACTCTTCTTTACCAGGCCAAGACCATGTCCTCAAAGCAGGGTTGGCAATGGACTATGATGGGCTCTGAGAAAAATGTCAATGGATATTGTCCATTAGGCAAATGGACATAGTCCATTGACATCTTCTAAGCCACATTTTGGTCCATTGGCCAACCTAGCCTCAAAGTCATGTGATTTATATATTCCTATTGAGACGCAAAAAAGATTTCATATTTATGCATCTATAATCTACATTTCGATTTGTTCAATAGAAAAAACTCCAATATCATCCTGATTTGTCTTGATTTATATTGTCCTATATTATCCCAATAGCTCGATAAACTGGCCAACTAGATGTTTCATGACATTATCCTGATTTTAGCTGTATTGTTCTAATCCTGAAGTATTATGTCTAAAAATATACACCAATCATACTGAAATCAATAATTTAATTGAATCAGGCAAAAATCATTTTATTATGTGTTCAGAATTTGATAAGGGCTGTAATTCTTTGTCATATTATCACCCAGGTGGTCTTTTTATACTAACCAGGTGAATTAACAGGTCACCTGACAGGTCACCTGTCGGGTAATCTGCATGGAAGATGTTCTAAAGAATAGATAAGCAAACTCTGCAAACTCTACTATTAAAAAATTAATGATTACTAATCATTAGCAAAGCTTATTTCTTATAATGCCCACCTATTCGAATATCCCAGATGGATGACATTTTACAGCTGTTTTCATAATTTCTAAAACACCTGATAAAAAATCTGCCAAATAATTTTTGGCTGTTCTGGTTAAGTTATTATTTTAGCATAATAGATTCAATAAAATTACAAATTATATATATATACATACATATTAGAGTTGCTGGTGAAACTGGTGAAACTTGGTAAAACTTGGTGAAACTGTTGACTATTTAAAATCTAATTGGTTATTGAATACAATAGCTAATCAGATTTTAGATAGTCACCAGTTTCACCAGTGTAATTAGTATGTATATAATTTTTATATTAATTAATGCAGTAGCATATAATTATTAATCTGCATTACAAAAATTTGCCAGCATTATTAGACTTTGTGTGCCAGCTCTATAAAAGTTCTAAACAATTTTATTTAAATAACAAAAAATTATATATTAGAAATTTATATACAAATTTTCATCCTATATTTTTTTATATTTTTATATATAAAAGATATATAATGCTTTTTATAATAATTTTAATATTATAAATAGGATTATGTTAAACATCGCAACCTGCTATATCGCAGGTCATATGATCATGTGAATTAGACAATATCGATTGTCCAAAAATAGAAATCCGTTAAATAAATCCACGTGACACACATAAATACTATGTACGTATGTACGTACGTACGTACGAGCCTTTAGAAGATGCCAATTAAGATACCTAACCTTACTATATTAATGCACAGGTACATATATAGCTTGTTAATACTGTAATTTACGGCTCATATTCAAAGCTCTACTTATATATAAATACACGCTATCAACATGCATTTTCTATAAGTGCATATTATTTGGTTAGTCTGTATAACGTTTTGCTTTTTTAATAATGTGCATATACTATCGAATCGACTAGTTAAATTACTATAATATATAGTTACTTTATAGATCCCAGGTAACAAGTACTACATATGAATTTCTGTAACAAATAAAAAGTGCAATACAACAGCAAACTAAATGCCTAAACCTATCTTGTGATACATAACAATGTTCTATCTTTAATACATCTACAAATTCCAATCACTAACAAACACTAACTCTATTTAGCTAAATAAAATAAGCTTTAAATATACACTGCCCAGCTTTAAATATTTTCTAATCCTGGAATAACATATAAATTGTAGTTGCGGTATGAATAATGTGGATCACATAAATATTGTTATTAGTGAAGTAATCATATACATGTTTCAGTACAAGTCAATGTTAGATATTGAAATTTCAATTGTCAATGATTCTATTAAGAAAAATCATGCATGCTCAATTTAAATAGGTCGTAACAAAAAATTCTTATTATATAGTATATAAAACAAACTAGAGATTTTAAAATCAAGAACAATCAAGCCAATCAACAATTACATAATACTTATGAAGTAGCACTATAATTAGAGTTATAGTAAAATTGCTATAATTTCCTAGTTACAACCAACTAAACATTTTTAACATACTACATATTTTTGATATACACATAATCATTTCACCTAAAATGATCTTTAGAAAATTTACATGTATTGGCATAGTGTCCAGTTCCAAAACAATTACTACAGTAATGACTCTCCACCTTTGATGTAGAATTTTCACCATTCACTGTAGGAAATTTACATGTATTGGCATAGTGTCCAGTTCCATAACAATTACTATAGTAACGACCCTCCACCTTTGATGTAGAATTTTCATCATTCACTGTATTAACTCGTTTCTTTGGTAGAAGTTCTTCAGTATATTCGTTTTCAGCTTCTATTTCATCTATTCATCTCGACTTATCTCACCTTGCATTTAAATCTTGAAGAGTACTTTGCTGCGCAGAATCCAACAACCTTGAACGCCTCTTGTGCTTCAATTTCTTGGGATTTTCAATTCAAGTAATATCAACTGTTATATGCTCACTAGTAGCAACACCACTATGGTTTTCAATGAATTTCACAATTAGTCCTACGAATTCATTGACTAGTCCATTTTCAAGAGCGAATTTTAAACCACTTTTTGCTATTCCAAAACCATGGGCGTATTCTTGCTTTTCTGTAATACTGGTATGAATGCTAGCTTGGTATGCATTATGTCCACGAATAGAGGTGACTTGATTCATTTCTTCACTTGTATCAAATTCCGCAGCAGTAGTACCTGTAATTATATTATTCAGTAAAGACAAGAGACAAAGAAAGTCTTACTCTTTACATATATATGAAAAAAGTATCTGTAATTATAGAATAATTTGATGCTTGCATTAGATCGGTATGCCAACGTTTGGATATAAGCTTAATATCAAATTTAGCGTTATGAGACATCTTAAAAATAGCAAAAAAATGTCTACAATAAAAACCATTAGAAATAATGTATAGACAAGTACAAATATATATATTATCAGTTAAAAGAACAACATAATGAGAGTAGTTATGATCATGTTGGTCAAATAAAGAAACACGCCAAACTTCAAGAACATTGTCACGATTAACCATATTTATAACATTTTCAAGCGAAGCTTGTAATGCGTCATATTCATCCTCAAGATAACCTTCTTCATATTCGTGAGCACTAGGAAACTAATACAAAAAAGTTAGTTCAAATAAAGTAATAGTATGATTAATAATATAAAACCATACCGAAGTTGAATTATTTGAAACTTCATATAAACATGCACAATATAACACACTTTGTGATATTTGCTTATTTTGAACTGAAGCAGATTCTAATGTTAAATATTTTCTGATTTCATTATGAATAGGTTCAAAAAATATACTTTGAATGCTCGGAAGTCCCAGGTAGGTAATGAATTCTTATATTCTGATAATCGTTGATATTGTGCTTTACGTTCAAGTTTCATCTGGATAGCTTTGACCAAACTTAGAAGTGATGTTTTTGCATTGACTTCGGATTTAATAATTCCATTCGTACTTTCTACCCATTGTGTGCTTTGCATGCCAGTACAAAAGGTCGTAAATACATAGATTTTTGCCTATGATTATCAAGATTTCCAAAGTTTATCCAAATAACTTTTGCCCACAGGGTGTTTATCTAACAGCTCTTCCCAACGATGCTCTAATTCTGCTACACTCCAACTGTTACGACACCGAAACCAGCTTTGTAAAAAATTATTATAAGAACTACCCAATTTTTGAGACAATTTTTTTGTAATATTTGTTTGAATATGAAAAATGCAATGATTATGTTTTGACATCGGAAAAGCCTGACTCACGGCGGAAATCATAGCTGGATCTGCGTCTGTAAAAATCACTTTTGGAGGTAGATTGTCAGTTGTCTTTAGTATACAATCAAGAATCCACTTATAGGAACTAACTGTCTCATCTTAAATAAGTGATTGCACTACGATCCTTGTCTGGTGATGATTATCAACAATTACAAAAAGGTTTAACAACATATTATAAGTATTGGTTTTTGCAGTATTATCATTAACAACTACATCATAATAATGCTTCCACAATTCTACTTGCGACGGTGATATCCAAAAAAGCCTCGAGAGATTATTGTCAATACCTTCAAACTCAATGTAGACAGCCCATCCCGGCTCTTGTTCCCGTTGTTCCAAAAGCCATTTTATCATATCCGCCGCATCATTTTCTCTTTGATTGCCCATTTGATTTTTATATTGATGTATGGCATTATATAGATCACGATCAAATAAAGGCTGGTTTGGAAATTTTTTTGTAATATACCAGCGTTGAGCTTTTGCCCCAAGACTACATTCCTGAGTTAAAATTTTATTTCATCAAGGACTTCTTGTGAAAGTGCACGCAAACTGGGGGCAAACTCTTTCTGATATGGTGCAAGGGTGTGGTTATGTTTCTCAACCAACTTATTAATAATTATGGAGTTAGAATCCTTTCGGCACCCTACATTAAGTTGTTACTGGCAACCCACTCTTTTGGACTCTCTATCCCTATGATCCGCAGTAACATTCTTTTTTTTAGACTTACGCTCTTTAGAGTTTTCACAAATGAAATACCGCCGAATTATAGTTCCAGTATTATCATGCTCCATTCTAAACTTTATAGCCTTGAATCCAATTTCTGCCTCATATTTCTTTAATGTCTTTTCTAATGATTCCTAATTAAGAAATGCAGTATTAGCTTGAATAGTAAAATCATTAGTCTCATTGCTGCTATCAGATTCTCTGTCGTTTAATTGTTCATAAACTGACTGTATGAATTCTTGGTTATCACATTGTTGCTCTTGAACTAGTTGTATGGGTTCTTCAGTTAGATAATTCATATCAGAATGCTGACTGGTTGAAACAAAAAGATCGAATAATGCAGGAAATACTAAAAAAAAAATTAATGATTACTAACTAGCCTCTTAATCTCATGTTTTATAAAAAGAAAACACTAATTTAACATCTTCTTCACCGTTTGTATAAGCACTTGAATCAAAGAATGAAGGCTCCAAAATATCATCTGACATGGGCACGGGTTTATTGCAATGACTTGGAGACGTATAGTTTATACTAAAATAATTTGTTCCAGTTTTATAATGACAAAGACATGTAGTTTATACTAAACTAACACGATGCTAGTTCGCTCCAATTTTATAAGAGCAAAGTTATGTAAAGAAATATGAAACGATCTTCTAAAAGAATAAGTTATTTATAAATCGCTTTTATATAATCCGTTTTTTAATCTATTATATACTTTATGCTTTATTACATAATTTATCCGTGCAAACAATGCATAATGTTTACTGACTATTTAATTTCTGATTCGTGTAACAAAAAATACTGCGATATCGCAATTGCGATATCGCAACCTGCTACAATTAACAAATTTCTATAAATATTAGCATGTTCAATATTATTAAATTTTCATTTAAATACTTGCCAAATATATTTAGTGCTATAGTGTGTTTAGTCTATGCAAAAACATATATACAGTATTTCAAATTATATATAATATAATTTATATATATATAATATAAGATAAATTGTAATTTATCATTATATATCAATTATGGCAAAAAACTCTTTCTGCTGATCTGCAATTTTTAATCGGTCAAAACCAAAATCAACAATTATCTCCAAATCTAGTATAA